TATTGTTAATGAAACTGATATTTCAATTATAACAAACTTGGACTTTCCTACAAATAATATACCAATAGGGAAGCACTCAGTATGATTTACCAGCCCTAATGTAGAAATGTTACCTTTTTTTTTTTTAAGTGGAAAAGAATTTTTGAATAAATGAGTTCACCCAGCTTTCATAGGGTGCTGCTTTGCAAAACCAGCAGTTACCATTTTAGACCAGAAGATGGTCTGGTTTTCCATAATATATCACTGTTCACAAATGGGTGTCTTTAACAGTATAGTACTAAGAAAGGGAAAAGAAAGCTAAGGAGTATCTCCTGTTCAGGCACTCTGCATGAGAACTCTGTTCTCCAAATCTGTCCTGAGTCTTATTTCGTTTCCATGATCTGTGTTCATTCTGTGACATGCCTGGTGAGCAAAGTGTCAGATGAAAATAATGCTACTTATCCACAGGTGTCGTTTTGAACTTTTGAAAAAGTTTTGAACTTTTTTTTTGAAAGTTTTGAACTTTTTTTTTGAAAGTTTTGAACTTTCATAACTGTGGAAGTACTTACAGCAAACAAGAACATGGAATAGAAAACCAAGAATATTCAGCTGGAAGTGAGGGACTGAATTCTCTGCTTCTTATCCAGTGCCTTTCATCTCTCATCAGTACTTTTGTGAAATAATAACTTGTGTCTTGCCATATCACTACTTAGAGCATGGGTCAGGAGTTCAAGGTTCTTCTGCCATTTGTGACATGGACTGTGGTCTTGAGCCAAGTTATGTTATTTACTTGTCTGTTTCTTTTACCTGTGTGTGGGGAGGAGGATGCACCTTAACAGTGCTGGAAAGCTGGTAACATCTCTAAATGTCTTTGGAGTAAGCTGCAAAAAGAAGCAGTGTTAGGTTTTACTGGTCTGATGTCAGTTATTTATAATTCTGGTACAAATGCCTTCATGCTTCAGGGTTAGCTTAGTAAATGATATATTGCTAAGGCACCCTTTTTTTTCTTGAAGTTTGTAACATTTATTGTTTCACCATAGGGAAATCCTGTCTCAGCATAAAGACCATAAGAGAAGCTGCTGTACAATAATGGACTCAATAGTGAAAAAGAGTGGAAGAAGCAGGAAAAAATTAGTTTCCCCTACTATACCACATTTATTAGCCTTCTATTATGTTGGGAAGCTTTAGGACCTTCCCTAACTTGATGGTGAAACTTTTAAGATCTGAGAGCTGTTGAATCACAACTATATTTACTGTAAATTGGAGCAGCAATGCTGATGGTCCTTGCTTTATGCTTACTTATTTGAGTTAATGACTGCAAATTTTAATACATGAACAGGCCTTTGAGGTCTCTTGTACCAAAGGAAAACTGAAAGCCACTAGGGAAAAATGATGTCGTGAAAGAGCAAGAAAGTGTATTCAGTAGGCCAGATTTAATATATTAAATAAACTTATCAATGTTCATTTTAATCATTGAAACACATATTTGGCAGCATTTCTATGCAGCAGTGGATCACCTCCTGAACAGGTAAAACTATAGAGGAAATAGCTCACAGTACCATTTTACTGTATTAAAGTATGTGATAACTTACTGAAGCAAATAGCTCATATTCCATGTAGTTTACACCTGGTAGGAAAGAAGACACTGCACTGAAGGAGTCTTCATCTTACCCAGGGCTTCAGAGCTGCTGGTTGGGGTCAGTGCCAAGTGAACAGAGATTTTTAACTCTTAAGAGAGGCATAAATCCAGCTCTGAGTGCTCTGTGCTCAGAGCTGGTCGTAAGAAGGTCTTAATTTTTGTTAGCAGACACTAGCTTTATTTTGTCACGTGTTCTGGTTTCACATATATTTTCACAATACAGAAAGAGCACAGCATTGGATGGAAACGGGTATAGAAAACCCTGGCCTTGTGATTTCAGATGATCATGTGTTTTTAACAGTACCATTTTCTGCAGATACTTTAGTATATTTTCTGTTATCCAAGCATTCAGAATGATTTATGCCTTTGTCAAATAGCTGGGAGGTGTTAATTATTGCAATAAAAGCTGTGATCTTATACTGTTTCGGGAGTCTTTGAAGCAACCTTGCACATGATGACTTGGAGTGGAAACTGCCAGTTTTAAACTTGTCTGGAAAGGATTAATTGAGCATTTAAGCTCTTAATACAGTTTATCAGGAAAAAGCAAAAGCAGTCCTGTTGGTGTGCTACCTGCAGCCTGTGCTGTCAGTTCATGATTATCCGGAGTTCAGCAATATCTGCAGCAACACAGCTTGGTTTTGCACAGCTGGTCTCTACACTGCAAAGGCAAACGGCTCTGCTTTGCCAGCCACAGCTCTGAGTTTCTCCTGATGTCAGGAAAATTTAGAGAGCGGGTAGTTATCATTTTTATGTGATTTTTTTTTTTTTTAATCAAATTGATTTAGCATGTGTAAAATTCAATAGTAAGATCTGTTCTGTAGAATTGGAGATTATTTGTTCAAGGAAAAGCTTGAGTCTGGTAGAAAGCAGAGATCTTTCTTATTTAATGTTTTTGGTTTTTCACTGTTCTATTAGAAATAATACAAGCTAAACATAAAAACAATACATAAAGATCCTAAAACTTTTTTTTTTCAGTTGATAAAACCAAACTCCTTGAGTTTTCAATAGAAGCTGATTATTTAACTTAAAGAATCCTTAATTATCAATAAATGTACAAAAGGAAGGATGTTTTTATTGAGTGGCACCAAATTAGGATTTTCTAATAAATTACTAATAAATTTATTTAGTAATACTAGCTGATATATGACATTTCCATCATTCAGCTGTTAATAATGCTGTGATTGTGAAGGACAACCCTTCATTATTATTTATTTAATCCATTCTGGCTTCTCAAAGTTTTGTGTACCAGCAGTAGGTTACTTTCTTCATTACCACATGTGCAACTTTGCCTCAGATATTCAGTAGTGCTAAGTAGAATGTTCTTGCCAAATCCTCTTTAAATGCAGCTTATCTTCCTGTATAATGCAGTTATTCTGCATTTTTGCAACCTTATCTTTACAGCTTTACAGTCATGTCTGGTGCTCAGTACCATCAGGCTTATGCATACACAGTTTCTATTGACTTCATGAGCACATAAAACATTGAGAAGAATTTGAACAGTCTCAGTGTCATCAGCGGTTCTTCCTGGCATATCAGAAAATCAAATACTTCCCCTCTTGTTTGTATGGTACACCATAAAATAGTATGTGGCCACTAGGTTTTCATTGTCATTAAATCACAGTAATAATAACCACAGAAGTCCTAAATAAGAATCATGTTTGTGCTGTTACATTAGCATAAAAATGTTAAGTCTGGGTAAATGCAGGGGAGACAGACTTTTCACAAATAATTCCCACTCTGAGAGCAACTCAGAATGATAAGTGGTTCAGGGCAGAATAATTTTTACACAGTCCTCAACTGCTTAAAAAGTTGATTTCATGGTGCCTGCGAGAGATGTTACAAAGCTGTATAATCTCCTTCTTGTACAACTGTGAGCTGACGTAGCTCACTTTCAAGAACAGGCTTTTTTGGGCCTTTTGGGTGGTGGGTTTTTTGCTATAAATGCTGGTCTGTAGTGTCTTGTAAATATTTGTTTCCTCCTCCTTTCTGTTGCTCAAAGCTGATGATTCAGGGGTGGTTATGATAGATGGAGAGACTTAAGCCTTTATTTCTTTGGAAGTTTACTTTTTCAAAGTCTTCCAAGTTTTTCCACTTGAGGTAAAAGAGAAGGATCATAATTACATTTGAGAGATGGACAATAGCTTCCTCAAATTTCATGGTCTTTCCGTTTCTCCCATGAAGTTCATGGGGATTTTTTATGATGGAGATGCTTTACATGATTAGTTACCTTCTTTTTGTGAATTTTTTTCTGTTCTTCATTATAAGTTTCATCAAATTGACCAAAATGTCACAGACAACTTCATGGTGGTCTTGAGTTAAAAAGAAAATACTTTTCAGTGGCAGCTTATACCGTATGTATCAGTTGTCCTCATGGTGATGTTTTTCCTATTAAAACAGAAAAAATGCTATGTGATATCATCTGTATTTTTAGAGATCAATTTACTTCAGCCATTTGAATTACAAACATTATTTGGAGCATGCTCTTTTTCTTTTTTTTTTTTTTAACTGGCTATTGAATATGTTGCAGAAATTTCTCAAGAAAGTCCAAGTTCATATAGCTTGTGCTATGCAGGGACTGTCCTTCTTTCATTAGATGAAGGATTGAAGTAAAATTAGTCATCCTGAAGTAATTTTTAATTTTCTGGGCTTTAGGCCCCATCAGTGCACAACTATGTTAGTTCAGTGCCCTTCACTGTAGTTCTTTAACCGTCTTTGAAGTATCATTAGGAGATCTGGTCATGTGTTTATAATGTGGCAAATTGTTGCATTATATAATCTTTGTTTGGTTAAAACATGGATTTAGAGAAACAACATTTATTAAAATAAATTGTTGGGTTTGTGTTCCTAATTTTTGTTTTGTTTTGCTGTGCCAGTGAAGCTAACTGGATTTTATTAAATGTTTCTTCCGTCACTGCACTTTATAGGAGCTCTTCAGTCATGTCTTGAAATGCTGAAGTTCTCCGTCCCTTCAAGACAGTATTTTCAGCAAACACTAATTCATCATTGAAATAAAACACACTTCTGATTAGTATATTGTTATTTATTAATAAATTCCTGTACTCTGTTAGCATCTGCTTCATCCTCAGATATTTTTACATGATGTACCTCTATCTCATAATGAGATATGCATCCTCTTACAAAGATGTAAGATATAAATGTCTTGGGGAAATGGGCACAGAAATACATCTATAGACATTTAAGTAATTTCCTGCTTTTTAACTTCTGTCAATTCCAACCTCATTAAACCCCATGATGATAACTGACATCATCAGTTTATTCTCTGTTTTTTTTAATCTAAGCATAACATTTCATCCTGCAGATTGTAGATACGTTACAAAATAAGTGGAATTCCAAATTGCAAATTTTCATATTTTCTTCACAGAGTTTTTGAAGATGTCAGCAGATATACCATTAAATATTAATATCAAGGAGCCCCGATGGGATCAAAGCACTTTTGTTGGACGAGCCAGTCACTTCTTCACTGTAACAGATCCCCGGAATATTTTGTTATCTGATGCCCAACTGGAAAATGCAAGAAAAATTGTGCATGATTACAGGTATGCCTTGATCACTTTTACTGCTGGCCCATAAAGTCCATGTCAATGATAAGTACATGGTTATATATTTAAAAGGAAATATTAAAACCCTATTAAAATAGAGAACCCCTGTTAAGTAATCTGAAATACAAAAGTGTCTTAATCCTGAAAACAGTTAATACAACAACAGAGTTTAAAACTTCCTCTTATGTGTTACATTGTTTGGAGCAAGTAGTTTCCTGAATACTTTCAAAGTAAATTTTCAAAGTTTCATGCTAATGAATCCAGAGATTTTAGCTCTACATTTTAGCTCTAAAATCTAGTACGTTTGAGTAAACAGAAATTTGGTGCAGGATATATGGACTCAGCCAACATAACCACTGCTGTGAGTTTTGATTCTTTTTACTTCACCAGTCCATTTAAAAGCTGAAGATCTACAAGCTGACTATGAAGCTACATTAACTTAGTATGAATATCTCAAAATCCTCTGATGCCACATTTGTCACTGGAGGTTGCAGCATTTTCTAACTGTTGTGCTTTTTGCTGTTGTCTTGTTTTTGTTTTTTAACTTGTCCCAAGACAAGGTATCCTGGCACCTGGTTTGACAGAAGATGACTTGTGGAGAGCAAAATATATCTATGATTCAGCCTTTCACCCAGACACTGGTGAAAAGATGGTCTTAATTGGCCGAATGTCAGCTCAGGTACCCATGAACATGACTATCACAGGTTGTATGATGACCTTTTATAGGTAAGTGATGGCAATATAACATATAAAATATTTTCCTACAAATCAGATAAGTGAAAATCAATGTTTTTCTTGAAAGAGCATTTTAGAAGATTTATAACCAATATTTTAAAATGTAACATTATGCTTCCTTTTCTCTTCTCTCTCTGCATTCCCTCACACTGATTAATGATTTCCTCTGGAAGTAGTTGAGAGATAAGCCCTTAGCCCCTCTCCTTCACCATCCCACTTTTCCTCAAACTGGGAAAGTTGAATGTTCAAAAATCCCATCCATGTAGGAGGGTTGTGTGGAGGACAAAGAGGAGGAGATACCTGGGAATTTCTTACCTTAGAGGTCTGGCATGTAGGATGTTCTGTCTGCTGAGTGAGTACTCAATATGCTTCAGTCCATCAGTCATCAAGTTTCTCCAGCTCTGGTTTGTTCCTTCCATTTCCTCAATAGTTCTTGAATCACCAGTACAGTGAAGCCCACAGCAGAAGCCAGTATCATCTGTTAGTAAACTCCATGTCAGAAATAGTTTTGTGACACAATGCTTTGTTAGCAAGATCTGGTGGGAGGTTCAGGGGAAATAACAATAGTGATTCTGAGATGTTACAAATTCTTGACTCACACTCCAGAAGGGCACAGCTGTTTTGAATGGTGCATATATATGTGTGTGTTTTTAAAAAGCAGTCAAGAATATGAATAAAGCCATCAATACAGCTGCCCATTCACAGGCACTGCTTCCTGTTAACTGCTTATTCTGTTATGCATGTTCTGTTATTATCTTTAATACTTATAGCAGCTATGTACCTTTTCTTTGCATTATCGGTAGTCACTCAGATTCAAAACTAGGTGCTTTATTAGCCTGGAAGACATTGGTTTCTTTGGACCAAACCCTCAGCAGTGCAAACAGGATCGTGTAGAAGCCCTTGGATGATGCAGTGTGGCCTCCATCTTATTGCACATCACTGTGTTCTGGTTATTGCTGGCCACTGGAAGAAGCAAATTCCTCGTTACACCTACGAGGGCTCTTGGGCGTGCAGTAAGGCAATGTGAGTCCCAACTAAACTTTATAGCAGGCCTAACATCCTTGCACACTAGTAGCAAGAAAACAGGAAAAGATGAGACAAGAAGAGTTGTACAGGCACAGGAAAAAAGAAGGAAGAACAGTAGTACTGATGGGAAAAAAATCTTATCTAGTTTATCACTATGGCATCTCATTCAGATACTGGAAACCAGAGGGAATAAGAATACACTTTCAAATCTCCCAAATCTTTCATTTTTTTGCAATTTAAAGAAAAAAGATATCTTCCCATTTCAGAACCAAAGCCTCATGATATACACACACACCTTCTACTCTAGCATCTCCTCTTTGCTTTCCCGTCTGTTACAGAGTAATTGCCACAACTACTGCTTCTTTAGCACTCTCAATTTCCATATCAGCCCTCAAGTGAGAACCATGTTCATATTGACCATTACTGCCTGTGTTATTAAATAATTTAATTACATATAGGCTTTAAAGTCCTGTGAAAAGTTATTTTAATAATCAGGAAATAGTTTTCAGTAGCTTGTTGTTTTTGGTAGCCTGGTTCCCCTGACAGATTCTGGTGGAGCAGAATCTTCAGTGGTGTCTCCAATGGGGGCAAAGTTTGCGGTCTTGGTACACAAAGAAACACTTTTTCACTGGTATACTCCTAGCCTCCAGCTGTTTGTGCATTAGGAACTTTCTGATCCAGAGGTAGTGTTTTATTTAATGGCCCTTAGTGAATTGCTTTTTTATAAGTTTGTCCTGTTCTTTAGATATACTAACTAGTTTGAGAGCAGAAGCATTCATCGCACCACGGGACAGCCCCATACATTGTGAAAAAAATTGACTGTCACTTTTGTAATTTATCAGCATAACCATTTGTAAAATGATTATATCTGCAGTTTAACAGGGACTACATTAGCTTGTTAAATGGGGACTCTGCAACTTGTACAGACTATTATTTTTTTCACAGCCCCCCCACCCGTGCTGACAAGTTAGCATCATTTTGTCCTAAGGCATCTGCATACTGGCATGACAGAATTTATGAGGATTCCTTGAAGCTTTTGGTTTTGGTGGTTTATTTTTCAATGACTGATCACCTGGTTCATGCTGTACTGGACCTGAATAATTTCTGTGCTGTACCTGTACTTCTTAAACATGCAGATATTTGCATGAAAATAACTTTTCATTTTGGAGTTACGTGTCTTAATCTGTTTCTACATGAGACTGAATGTTTTAATGTCACAGGGATTTATTAAAAGGCATCGTATTAGCTTTTTGAAGACTAAGAGGATAAACCCTGTCTCCTAAAATCCACCTCTCAGTCACTTATGGAGCTTCCAAAGACAACTAAGCAGGCTATAAAGGAACAATAATCCTGGAAAAGTATTCTAGAAATTAGTGTTTCATATTTCTCTGTGTGTTTTTTATAGAGTGGTTTGCTATAATGCTTTTGTATTACAACAAACCATTGTCCCAACTGAACCTTGCTACTTAATCAGAGTACTTTTACAATTCTATTCTTAGAAGTAGTAGTACGTTCATTGTCAAGACAGTACCTCTTTGACAGTGTCGTTTCATTCAGATAAACGAGAACCTCTGCATGCTTACTGCTTGCACTGGCTTTTCTTGATTTGCCATCATTTTTCTGTGCTGTTGATTCAGCTGTGTTTTTAATAATAATAATAATAATTGTTTCTCTTTTCAAGAACGACACCAGCGGTGGTTTTCTGGCAGTGGATTAACCAGTCATTCAATGCTATAGTAAATTACACAAACAGGAGCGGTGATGCCCCAATTACTGTCAGGTCAGACACTGAACCATGTATAATACTTCTGATGTGTTTTTAAGTTGCTCTCTGAGGTACTGGAACATGGTTGATCTTTAAAGTTTGAAGTGATAGAGGAAAAAGTTTTTTTATCTGTGCTTATTTTTGATTTGATATGCACAGATGAGAAGTCTGAGAATCGTGGAAGTGAGAAACTCCATTTCTGTCCTTAAGATAAGCCTAAGCACCTTGATCATAAAGACTTAACAGTGTAGGACTTAACAGGAGTCTGTGTGCTCAAGGGTCTCATCGGTTTGGTGTTATACCAGGATTTTTCTAAGTTGATATTTTGTGTGGACCTTCAGGTGTCTCTCTGTGCCATCTTCTCAGTGCCCTGCAGTATAGCACACACCACCCTGTGTGCTTATTTACAAAAAGAACACTTCAAGGAACTGATCTGCACAGGACTTGTTTCTACTTGAAGGCAAAGACAGAGACTAAATAGATGCAGAAAGCTAGAAATCGTGAATAGGAGACCAGAATTGCAGTGCTTGACTTCCTGGTTTTGAGGCTGGATTGTTTATAGATGTCCAGGAGGAAGCAGTGGATTTGAGGATATACAGGCACCTCCTAGCTGGGAAGTATGTAAAGTGTGTTTTAGGGCAGATCACATTGGATTTGGGTGTTCGCAGCATAGCTAGTCTGCATGTATGTGTTTCAGTACAGCTGATTTTAATTACTTTTGTAGACATGGCCTTAGAAATCCAAACTGATTTTATTAGTTTAAGAAATTAGGAAATTAAATACAGAACTAAATCCTTCAAGGTGTTCATTCAGACACATGAGAAGATGCTGAACAGGTAGCAATGCAGAACCAGCAGAACCTGATTCAACATTTAGATGTTGCATGTGATTTTTACTTCTAGTGAAAGAAAAGGGTTTAATTTAGTGAATCTTCCATCCACATCTTATAGCAGTATCACAGAAGGGTCTACTTGCGGGGTGGGGGGGAAGATGGGACATAACTACATGTGTAAAATATACTTATTTTTAGAAGTGACATAAATGTAGTTGTGCATGTGCAAACATTTTTATTTTTGTTTTAGCCAGCTGGGAACAGCCTATGTTTCTGCTACCACAGGTGCTGTCGCAACAGCTTTAGGACTTAATGCACTAACAAAGGTATTGCTGATTTTTTTTTTTTTCTATTCTTAGCTAGACTTTGGTGTTCTGTGAGATGCTAACAGCTCATTTCTCCTCCTATGTATCTATGTCATGTTGTGAATAGCTCCCAGTATGGGGTTATAATGGCATTTGAAAGCTCCCTTCTTTAGATTCCAACCTTATTTTTGCCCCATGTAGATGGTTCTATATGTATTTCAAACACCTTGTCCTCCTTGTATGTATATCAAACAGCCTTGTGTCTTGATAACACAAACTGTATCTAATAAGGTGACTTTTTTGCAGTTTCTTTTTTACATATCAGAGTATCTAATAGCATTTGAAAGTTAATTAGAGTGGATATGTAATTACAACAATATGGACTCATTATACCATAAACTGTATAGGTGTGTTTTTAAGGTGCAGTATCACTTCTACAAACATGGACGCCTACTCCAGACTAGCTGAAGAACTTGTTCAGAGGTGCTGCTCTTAAATGCAGAAAATTCAAATTCTTTAAACAAGTGCACAACACAATCAAGGAAAAAAGGTCCTTTACCCAAAAAAAAACCCAGCAAAAATTTATTTTGTACTCCTCTGCTTATGTTTTAATGTACTGGGAGTGGTATAGAATTGACAAACTATTTGAGACACTATTCTAAGCAGAGGAGTTAAGGTTATATAAAACATTGGTGAAATGAATAGCCTTCATAGTCAGTACCTTTAGATGCAAAGCAGCTGGTATGGATGTTGCTGGCTGTGACCTTACCAGCAGAGACACTAAAGGTCTATTTAGTGTTGCTCTTGGGCTGACAGGCATGCTCAGAAGCTGAAGCTTCCTGCAGTGATACTACTAAATTAAGATTGGTTTTGCCAGTCTCCTGCCACTGCTCACTCAAGTATTTATGACTTACATCTTGTTTGTTTGTGGTTTTACCTCTGCCCGACCAGTGAGTTTTCATTGAGTTTTAATTTAAAGGAAATAAGTTCCGATCTATCATTAGCACATGAAGCATTTTAATATGACCTTTGGGAAAGAAAATTATTATATAATTTTTTTAATTTCTTTTTTCCCTCTCTGTGTCTTACAGCATGTCTCACCTCTTATAGGACGGTTTGTTCCTTTTGCTGCAGTTGCTGCTGCTAACTGCATTAATATTCCACTAATGAGACAAAGGTAGGAAAAAGAACAAAGATCACTCATTCTAGAAGAAAAGATGTTACTGAGTTTTTAGATCAGCAAGTTACTAAATAAAGCACATTATATATCTTTTGCTTGTTTCAGAATTTTGCAAAAACCTCATGCATGATCTTGTTTTGACTGATTGGTTGTGACATACATGAAATAGAACATCTTCATCCTCTTCAGAGAAATATCCATAGAGTTCTTTAGTCTTAGATTTCAGAAATCAGGTGCTGGTCCTTCAAAACTTGGTCACATGGAGCCTTTAATACAAACTCCACTTTGGAACAATACAGTCATTTCAAAAATGGTGCTTCAAAACCCACATGCAGAAGTTAGTCATAGAAGTAAGGCTTTGCAGTTCTGCTTAATCATCTGAGATTACAAAAATATGTACTTTCTCAGAAACAAAATTTCCTATGTATTCTGATTTGACTAGGACTATGAATAGAAGTGGGGGGAAACAAATGAAAAGCATCCTCTTATAAACAGAATGTTATGGGCAGAAAAGTGAATATTTAAGGTTTGTATGTACAATTAAATTCAATCCATGGTAACATTTTATCTCTTAAAAAAGATGAGGAGAAGAATAGAAGCAGTCCCCAGTATATCTGCCCTTCTGTCTACTTCTCACTCCCCTAGAAGTTCTCCCCAATATGTGAGTTTAACACCTAACCCTGCACTTGAGCAAAAGATCTAATAGAGAATAATACCGTTACAGAAATGTAGTTTGTTTTGTGCATCCTTTTATACTTTCAAATAAAACCTCAGACTAGAATGCCAGAGGGGAATTTTCACAAATACTTCTGTTTTAGTTCAGTGGAACTAATCTTCCTGTGTTTCCTGTGTTGTCTGGCAGAAAGGACAGACTACTTCCAGAGCGGTTCAGAAAATTCCACTTTTCTGAATGTTTTTTTGAAGGAACCTCTCCCTTCTGTGGACTGCAGAAATAACACATCTCCTTTCTTCCCCCTTGAAATGCATGTGACCAGGCTCAAGCAGCAGATTGCTGTTACAAATATTCAATTACTTACTTTTCAGTTTATTTTTCCTAAGATCTTTCTATGCCTTTTGAAATTTTTGTGCCAAAGAGCATTATAAACAAGCTAATGTGGAAAATAAAATAAAAACCATAATTCGTGTAATTGACAATTTTAAGGGGACAAAAAAGGTGAAAAAATGCATGTCAGTTGCTGCTTTATTTTTACCCCTTATTCAACAGAGAGCTCAAGTTTGGAATCCCTGTCACAGATGAGAACGGAAACAGACTGGGTGAATCAACAAAAGCAGCTCAGCAGGCAATTACCCAGGTGGTTATATCAAGGATTCTTATGGCTGCTCCTGGCATGGGTAAGAATAACTGCAGTCATGTGCAGCTCCTGATTATCAGTTCCTAGCGTGAGAGAGTGCGTAAATTCTATTTAAGTGATTTTTCTCAGAGGCCATATTATCTTACAGTCATACAGGCAGTATTTACATTTCTGTTAAGAAGTTCCACAGAGAAATGTGTGTTTCTTATGTGAAAGCATCCGCAGTGTGTTACACTGAAGTATAGCAGAAAAGCTCCCAGGATACTTTTACAGAAAGGTACAGATAACAAAGGAATGATAGCAAATTCTGCTTGAGTGAAATTGGTTTAATGAAGAGTGGATGCTTTGACCAGTGCCAAGTTACTGAGCTCAGGTTCAGTAGCATGTAAAATTAGAAGTTTTGCCTACTGGGAGAATTTATCTCTGTAAATACCAATCCAGTATCTTGAACTGGCAATGTGAAATGGCAGCATGAAATGGAAGCTCAGTTAATGACAAATGGCTGTGAGAATTGTACTACGGTATTATTCATCTTAACAGAAAATTAAAAGTGCCTTTTTCTCCAAGGTTAATGCTTTTTTTTTCTTTTCTCATTTGCAGCGATTCCTCCCTTCATAATGAATACATTGGAGAAGAGAGCCTTTTTAAAGGTTAGTCTTAGACAAACTCTGTATATGTATTTCATATCCTAAGTTAATATTTTAATGGATTTTAAATACTTTCTGAGTCTTCATATTTGCCTCCCACACACCCTGGGAGGACAACACTGTAGAGCTTGCTTTACAGCTGTTGCTTTCTTTATGCCTTTCTTAGACAGGGATTGCTTGGTTCTTTTTATCACAGTAAAAAATAACATTAAGAATATTAGAAATTTTTGTTATGTTCATAATTGTTCTTAAAATGCAGAGTTCCTCCTAGTAAATAAACCTTCCTTATACTGAGATTTGGAATACAGTTTATGAGAAAAATATTCAAAATTTTAATAATGCTTTTTTCTCAAGATAGCGATAAGGAGGCTTTACTTAGCTGCTGTAGTAGCAATTTGACTTTGGAAACAATAGTGATGGTAGTAATCTCTTTGAAAATTATCCTTTTAAATTTATTGGACTAGCAAATTCAGGGTAGGCATAGAGTGGGCATGCTTCATCAAAGATTACTTATTTTCTATATTCTGTTTATGCTAATGTAGTGTGAAGCCAAACACCTGATATTAGTAAATATGCAAACTAAATCAATATTATGCACTATGTGTACATGAGAGGGCAAAGAACAACAATTAAATTAATTATGGGGTTGTCTAACACAAGAGAAATACTATTCAGATGAGGACCTCTATAATTCTTTACCAGTAAAGGGAGTTTCATCTTCACCAGCCAGTATCACTGATTTACTTACTGAGTATCTCCAGGCAAAGTTTCTGCCTGTGAAGCCCACCCAGCAAGCTGGGAACAATAGCCTAAGAGAATCTGTCTCCTTCCTGTTAGAAAAAGTTAGTAAAAGAAAGTGAGGTCTGAGTCTCTAGACCCTCCCTTGGAAAAGTGATTTGGGTGGGGACTGGGAAGACAAGCAGGGGAAGTTGCCTGGTTTTGGTTGTCTAAGATTTCTGAAATATTTAAATCATACTTCTTACTATTTCTGCCCTTCATCTTTCTTGTGCATAGGTGGATTACTCAGTTACGTACACCATTTGAAAGTGCTTTTGTATATATAAATGAGGCATTGGAAAGAGGTCCCAAGTGTCTTCCAATTTTAAAAACTACTTTTTCCTGAAATGCTTTGCTTCCCTCCCCCCTTAACAGAAAACACTATTGCTCAGAATGTAAAAACAGGAAATGTGGCATTTGAGTTTTAGAGCGAAAGTCAGTGTGTGCTGCTTATGTCTCCTGAAAGAAGTGAGACTGCAACACATCCAAATGCACTATTTGTCTGCAGCATAGAGACCCCTGTACTGATTTGGCTAATTTTTAATTGCTGATTTCTTTACTCATACTCTGTTTGCAGAGTAGCTTTAAGCAGCTTGTGATAGTTACATTCTTGAGAATGTATTACCTGAAACATTAGCCCTTGTTTAAACAAAAACCCTCAAATTTAGAGCAAGGATTATTTTACATGTATTTGACATAGAAGAAATGTCACAAATGCTATCAACTCAACTGACAAATAAAAAAATGGCATTTGTGAAGAACTTGTAGCAATCTTCAGGGCTTGGAGACAAATATCTATTGTTTTTGTGTGGTATAATCAATATAAGGGTGTTGTGAATTTTTCAGATCAGCAAAAATGAGCGATTTCTTCGGTGACTACTCAGTGGTCTTTGGTACCATCATGACCGTTTATGCTCACCTGTTCCTCCCCCTCAGCCTCAAAGACTGTGAGTTCAGGTGAAACACTGCTCTCCAGGTAGTCAGTGGTAACACTTGGTAGAGATTAGTATTAAAACCATTAAGGAATGAGCTGCATTTTTAACACGCAGCTTCTGCATGTCCTCTTGAGGTTTCAGAAGCACCATCCCATTTGCAGTACTCCAACACCATCCACGCAATGCTTTACTAACACATTATTCTTAGCCTCTGCTTTGCACATCATCACTCTTGAAAATAATTCTTGTATGCTTGCCAAAGCCTATTAAGCCACACACAAGGCCAGAAAATAGGCAAATGGTTGTGAAATAATGCAGAAAATAGAATTATGTTCTGCCACGAGAGAGAGAAAGAAATGCTTCTGGGATGCTGGTCTCAGTGGTGGCAGGCTATCATCCTCTGGTATTTGAAATAAGATGTAGGTTATGTAGTACTATTCATCCCCCATATTCCAACATTGTTTTGCACAGGGACATTTTGAAGGTAACATTAGTATGAATTAACAATATTCCCAAAAGTTATTCCTAGAAAATTACTGAAGAATGTGTTTTAGATCACAAGCACAAATTACTGCTTCAAAAAGAATCTAATTATTTCTTGACTTGAAAACATATTTTTTGTATGTATATGTGCTTTTGCTATAGATTTTAGCTGCCTTTTATGCGATTATGCAGTGTAGTAGTTCATGATTAGGCTGTATAATGTCTATGTTCATTATCCCTACTGACATACACTTGACTAGTTCTATGCAGAACTAAGTTATTTTATCTGCTGCAGTAGGAGAATCCATAAACAACCTTGCTCTGAGGCACAGCATTTATAGATTTTAGTTACCTGTAACCTTTCTCCTAAGGAAATAAATTGGTTTTTGTCTCCATAGAAACTTCTGAAATTCCAATCGACACTGAAGTTTTAATTTATATTACTACTCTTACAGCTTCAGCTATTGTTGCTCTCTATTCTGCATACAATCAAGCTGATTCCAGAAACTTCCTTGTATATCTTTAAAACAAGCTCCTTGAGGTCTCTTAGTCTGCAACTAAAATATGAATTCAAAATGGTCACAAAACTAAACAGAAAAACTTTTTTTTTTTTTTTTTTTTTTAAGCATCATTCTTGAATGTCTTATGTCTTAGAGACCTCCATGCATTCCTAATTTAACTGTCATTTCTTTTTTTCTTTTTTTTTTAAAAAAAGCAGGCATAACTAGCCTGGGAAAGCTGACATTTCTTAGGTCCAACAATGGAAGGAAGCAGTTAGAAAAAAACTGATTCTCCTTACAGCTTTTGTTTGCCTAATTATTATTTCTCCACTTTCTCTGTTTGCACTAACCACTGCAGATGCCATAAAGAAATCTGGAAATTAAAACCTAATTCATGGGGAGCTGTCTTCTTCCAGAGTTAAATGATAATTCTCTAACACAGCAAATTCTTCTGCTGTCTTGTACTTCTCCATTTTATGTCTTTGTAGGGATGTACAGCCTGCATTTGAGTTTTGCTTTATTGTTTTACATTGTTCCCTGGACAGCTCCAATTCTTAATATTGACCTCCCAGTGTTAGTTTTACCTCACCATCCTTCTTGATTAGTGCAGCCTGGTAACATTCTTGAAAAATAAAGACTGTAACTCAGATCAAGTGCTTTGGCAAAAAATGTTCCACCACATGAAATAGATGTTGTTTATATTGTCTGTACTAGTAGACACTTCTCAGATTAATGACCAACTCTGCTGAAGGCAATAAATCATCTGTTACTCTCATGACACCTTACAAGTCTTTTCAGTTATAAAATCATATTTGAGGCTTTTCTGTTATGTATCTCGTCCCTCCCTCACACTGCAATGCATCGCATCCCTCTCCCTTAATTCTCCTCAGAGACTGAAGTAATTTGCAGTAGTGTTTGACTTGTGTTCCCAAATATGTGTAATATTAACTAATGCCACAGTCCTACATCCTTTGCACTGTCAGTCACACCATCACTTCTCATGAACTCTTCCAATGTATAAAATGTAAAGCATTTTGAGTGAATTTATTTCAGCTGAAAGTCAAGTGAAGGTGTGTTTAGTGGGATGCCAGCACATCAGAGCACTGCTGCATTCACTCTTTCTCCTTCTCCCTATTGTCTTTTCCCATGTTATCTGTTATTGCAGATTATTGCTGAATTGCACTCTTCCTGCACTCACTTCTGGATTATGGATTGACTCCAGGGGGGAAAAAAAAAAAAAAGGCAGCAGTCTTCTACATCAATTCTTCTCACTCAGGCTCTGGAGACTTTAATCCACACAGGCTTGTTTTTCCATGCCTCTTATGCTGCTGTGACCTTCCTTAGCACCAAGCTTTGTCTTACAGAGCTTTCTAAACTTATTTTTTCTATTTCTACTGTCAAATATAATGCCCATCTTTTGTTCACCCATTTCCCCTCTAACTTGTACATCTTAAGAAATGCTTCTTGCAGAAAGAATCATCAACTTTGTTGAAACCATCATCCACTGTAACATGTTTTTTAACTCAGCTGTTTTTTAAAATCAACTTCCTGTTATCGTAGCAGTTGTGTATGTCCTACTTACTGGAGACACTGATTTTATTGTAGCAACAGAAGGCTATTGCAGTAGCATTGTTTAAACAGGTCTGGTTTTATTTCATTAGTAATTAATTTCAACTAAAATTCTAACATGGGGGGGGAGTGGATTCCTAAACCATTTAAAGGCCTACAAGAAAACTATCATATTTCTTGAAATATGTTCTGCAAAAGTTACAGGACTGAGGAATATGCTAATAATGCATCCATAGATTATGTGTTGCTTTCTCACCCCAATTCCTCTACCCTTTTTTCCTTTAATATAAGGTGAACTCTTGCAGAACTGGCGTGTAGCAGACTGTGCTACAGGAGCAAGTTCCTACAAATCAAAGTGAATCATAAGACAGGAGAAAAGGCATTTTTCCTTGACACCTCCCTTATTTATGGTTGGTGGCTGCAGTTGCTGTTGCTCAGAAAGTCAATCTCCAGTTTCAAGTTTAAACTATTTGATGTCACCAAAGAGATAAGAGCTGTAACCAGACCTAGCCTATCTTCTTAGGGATGCCTGGGCAAAATTCACTGTGCCTTTAGGTGTGCAGGCCTTGCACCTGCAGCACCGCTCCAGGCTGTGGTGCTGTAGCTTGTTTGTGGGCTTGTGGCACTCAAAGAACTGGCCCACATATTCAAGATCAGGTCATAAGTTAAGAGGCAACCACCTGTTGTAGTTTAAGGGACACTTACTCGGGATGAGTGTAGATTAATAGCACTGGGAATTTTCTTGCTACTTTTCAAAGGGATTGGGCTCTCAAATTGGAGCTCAGTTTAAAGTATGCAGGTAATTTGCCTTCATTGTGTCCAAGACCCTTTTAGGTACAATCTGTCTCAGAATACAAGAACTCCAGGGAAGTGGGAAGCAGGGTAGAAAAGATACCATACTTATTGCGTGTGGTTTATTTTTAACAGAGGTTTCCTTGGATGAGTGCTCCCATTCAAGTTGGATTAGTTGGATTCTGGTAAGTGATTTCTTTAGGTTGTGCCTGCTATTTTAAGAGATACTTGTAGCGGGGTTTTTTTGAGGAAGTAGCAATATTTGCACTTCATTTAAAGAAAAATAGTTGAGAGAGTTAATGAGTATACAACAGTTATTTCACTTTCCTATCTGTAACTGATAATACATTAAAAAGAAAAGCCATTAGTAATGAAGAAGCTGCCAAGAAAAGCAGAGAGAAAGAAAGGGAGTGGCAAAAAAAAGGCATGTAGCAGCTAGATTAGAAAAGATGCTTTGGCTGCTACCTCCATAAACAGTAATAGGAATCTCATCCTGTATGTTGAATTATTGAAATATTTGGTTAATGGAGTTTCATTTGTGGTTGTCTGGCATTTTATGTTGTCATGCACACCAATGCAAAACACTGAAAGGACATAAAATGATAATTTTATACACATTTGCAAACATAGTATTGATGCACTTAATACATAGTAGGTTAAATGAATCCATAAGTTATAAGGCAGTAAGAAATAAAGGTTACATAGCACTTCATGGAACTGTACCTCATTTTATACAAAAAAAAGCAGCTTTCTGCCTAGAAGACCATGCCTAAGGGTATTGAATTGTCTTTTAGCACCCTAAATATTGTAAACCCATTTTTGTCTCCTCTAGTCTCGTGTTTGCAACACCCTTGTGTTGTGCACTGTTTCCTCAAAAAAGGTATGTATTCCTGTTACATTATTCTTTGTTACATTCCCAGATGCATGTAAGGTACTGCAAAAAGACAGAAACAAGTGGTCATTGCTTCCTAGAGCATAGTCTTAATTCCCATAAAACAAATGTGATAAACATGAGAATATTCAGAGAAATAACAACTATGCTACTCATCAGTAATATATAATAGTTGAATTGGGCTCACTTGTTTACAAACTCCTAGCAGCTTGAGATGCAGCTACATAGGGATAGTGAACAAGAGGTTTAGGTGAATAGTGTAACAATGCTGTTTCAAGCTGAGAAGTTTGAGCTTGATGATACAGTTAAGAATCACTAGAATGATTCATAAAAAAGGCTAATGTAGTCCAAACAATACATTCATGTCCAGTAAGCTTATGGCTTCATTAAATACAGTCAGATCCCATTTTATTTTCAGCTGGAAGCTCCTCTGGTTATACAGAACAGCATTTGACTATATGTGCTTATTTGTAATTTGATTAATATTTTTCCAGAAAATTCTTCATCAATACACAAATAGCTGAGTACTGAAAAATGTCTTAGAAACAATATTTATTATTATAGCTGAAATAATGAAACCTGGATGGGTTACCTACAAAGTTAGTTCAATTCACAGTATGAACAGGGTCTTAAATTCAACTGGGCTGTCCCTCTTATTAGTGGTTGTCTAAAAACTTGACAAGCTGGAGCTGAATCCATTAAAATATTGAAAACTAAAGTAGCTTTTGACCTCCAGAAAACAATACCTAATTCTCATCTGATGCAACTGAGTATAAAGCAGCAGTCTGACACCATCTGTTTCAGTGCCTGGCAAGGAGTAGAGAATTGTGATAAATAAGTGTCACTAGGCTACTTGGAGATGGCTTGAGAAACTAGCATAGCAAGTGTGGTACAGTTCTTGATTTTAACCAGGGCTTTCCATTTCACAGGAAGATTATAGACCTTAAACTGTATTTAAGAAATTGCAGCTGCTTAAATGACCTGGCAGTTTAATTCACTTTACTGTGAGATGACTCCCAAAAATAAACCTTTTATTCAATTGAATAAAATCAGGCAGTAAGTTAAATATGCAAATACATTATATTTAATAAAAACAACTTTAGGAAGTTAGGTTTCTGTTGCCAGCAACAACCTTAAGCAACTAAGTAGATTCCTACCTTCCTGGTAGTAGCCTCAGACATTTCTTGACTCTACAGACTATCTTGCTCTCTTTTAAGCAGGGATTAATTTGCCCTTGGTCTCTGAGTATGAGTCCTTCATAAGAAGTTAGGAAAAAAAACCTGAAAACTATTTTCACAATGGAGGAAGTTTAACCAGATGCATCGTCCATCTTATTTTACATTCAAGTGCTTGTTATATATAACCATTTTACTGTTTCTTTTGCTTAGTTCTATGTCTGTAACACGCTTGGAGCCAGAATTGCAAGCCAAGATCCGAGAGAACAGCCCTGACCTAGAACGTGTATACTTTAATAAAGGATTATAATTCAAGGAAGGGAAAATTTCTTTTAAGGAGGATCTTGTGAACTTATTTGTGAGTTATGTGCCACATAGTTGAAGATGAGAACTCACTTTTAACTTGTCCATTTGTTAAACAACTTCGATTATCTACATTTTGTATTTAGACTTTCCTCATTGTAGTGTTTAAATTACAAAAGGTCATTCTGTCCACTTTGGTATCAATTAAAAGTTTAACCATACATATTAAAAAATGTTTACATAAGCTCTCAAACAGCTACAATAATAAACAAGCACACAAAGAAAAATAGATGCTATTATATTGAATTTGCCACCTGTTCCAGTAATAGTGGGGCAGGGATCTTTTTGAAAAGTCATAGAGCAACTGAGCGAAGTTGCCACCCTCTGCCAGCAGCAGGACGTGGGGCTGAACGTGACAGAAGGTTGTGCAGGAAGGGCTTTTTACCAGGAGGTTGGTTAGGTTGTAGGTTTTCCCTGTTGGCACAGAACCGTTTCTTTAAGGTAGATGTTGGGGGAGCCTGGAGCTTCTGTACAGTGTGGTACTGCTCAGCAATACAAGCTGCTTTCTTCCGCAGGTCTAGTTTTACCAGCATCATGTTGTTCTGCAGTTCTGCCAGTGTTTGGTCCTGAGAAAGGGAAGGCAATATATATGTAAAGATACAGCAAGCTGCTAAACTCCCTGGTTACTATGAACTGAAGAGGATAAATTGCCTTTGCCAAAATTCACTAGCTGGTATTGCTAAATAAGGCCATGCATAAAGGCTTCTACTGTCAACTGTGTAGCAGTTCAATAACAAAATAGGAACAGTAAGGCCAGGAAAAAGCTGAATCCACCCTGCTACAAATATACTGCCATAGCAACTGTGATAAGAGTAAACTGGACAAGGAAATGAGAACTCAAATTATCCTACTTTAAGTGGAGGCTGTCAGTTAACTGAACAGGGACAATTTGGGTCTCCTTGGAGAGTTAAATATGCAGTCTGACTCAACCATTGAAAAATTAGCAGTATAGCTCCCTTAATGTAACAGGCAGTATTTGTCTAAAGAATAAGTAATTTTTATCTGCAGCTGCAAGAACCTAGGTTATTCTGCTGACTGGCAAAGTGCACAGACTAAATCCCCCAGTGCAACCCCCAAGAAAACAGGCACATTACCTGTCGAGCCAGAATGTCATCACACATACAGAGGGCTTCTCGAAGTTTCCCTGCACTGGTACTGTGGCAGCACGCCCTCTCTGCAGACTGAAGAGACTCCCCAAGCTTTTGTAATTCTGAACGCAGCAATCTGACATTCTACAGGAGAAAGAGGTTTAGTACAATAGCTACCTTTGCAGAGCAATGTCAAAGCCACTCTAAGGTCATTCAGACAGGCAATCTTGAGGGAGGATCCCATCTGAGTGAGGTACGCTGGGATCACAGATACCACAGCTTTCCACATATCTAAGAAAGGGTTTGTTTTCAACAGACCCATTTCAACTTCATTTGTTTGAAAACTTGGAAACAGCAGCTCCAAACACTGTTTAAACTGGTGACCACCTTGCCCTCTAACACAGAAGTGGAGTTACCTTCTGTCCGTCCTCCAGCTTCTTGTCTACATCCACAGTAAGGGGTTTGGTGGAGGGTGGTGGCTCCAGTAATTTCTGGTACTTGCGCAGCTCTAGGAACAAAGTAGTGAACAACGGTACATTAAGCTTTCAGTTTTTCTGAAGTCAGGACTTCTTTTGAGACAAGCTGCCACAGGCAAGCTGAGACAAGCTTTGACTTTGTGCAGAATGCACAGACATTCCAGGCTTCTCCCTTTCAGTTATGCAAAGTAACTTTATAATTTGAACAAGGAAAGATCCTGCCCTAAAGTCCATTTTCATGTAAAAATGAAGTGAAACCCTGTCCCATCCAGCACATTTTCCCTATTATCTGCAACTTATAATAGTGGTTTGGGGATCTCTGAATCCAACGTACCCTACTGAAAGAAGTACCTAACTCTCTACAATTGCTCAGGCATAGTTCAGAACCAGTGCAGCATCACTGCCTTACCTGCTGTTGCAGTATTTAACTCCATTTGACATTGCTCCAGTTTGGCTTTAGTATCTGCCAGCTCCTGCTGCAGAGCACATGAGGTAGCCACTCTCTTTGATCGACGCAAGCTTTGCCCCGACTCCTTCTGCATAGTATCCAGGCTCTCCAGTTTTTGTTTTGCCTCCTGCAGAGCAGCTTGGAGCTCCTCAATCTTCTCATCACGCTCCTTTGAAAGCAAGTTTGTTCAAATATTCAACAGGATTTTCTTAACACAGCTTTTCCAAAACTTTCAACATCTTTCTTTCAGGCAACTTTCTCAATCACACACATCACACATTGGACCCAGCCTTTAATGTCCTTTAAGTGAAAACAGTGAACTCATTTCCTGGGAGCCTAAACCACTTTTTTACAGCCTCTGAAGACAAGGGATTTTGAGAGTTGACATCTTGAGACAGGTCTGCAGCAAGTTCCAGAGGCCACTCAAATGCCATAGCATGCAAAGTAGACAGGTCCAAACCCATCATCACAACTAAGAGTAAGAAGAGAAATTCACAGAACTTGTATTAATCTGAGGAGTGCAAAGCAAGCCACTAGCTAAAAGTGTAAGGGGGGGGGCAGCGGGGAGAGATTCATGTTGCACAAATAGAGAAGTTAGAATGGTTGCAACATTAACATCCAGATTAAGGGCTTAAATTTTAAAAGCCTAGTAAACTACATAAAGCAGTAGACAAGAAAAAATTTATGGATCAAGCTATCAAATAATATCACAAAAAGATACCACAAAAAGCAAAATCTTTCAGTTTGTGTAAGTCACCTTCCTGGACTGAAGTACCCCAAGTCCCCTCCCAACCCACTGCCACTTTCCTGATGTCATTTCATTGCTCCGAACAAACCTGGATCTCCTCCTGGTAATAATCAGTCAGTGACTCCTTCAGGTTATTCAGTTTATCCTCATACAGTTCCTCCAGCAGCTCCTTCTGAGCATCCACATGTTGGCTACAAAGAGAGCAACCTACATGTCAGGGTCTGGCGGTTCTTGGTACTGCAGCTCACCCTGAACAAAGGGAGGGAGATCACCATAAGCTGTACCTGCACCATTGCTCCTTCTGTTGCATGTGCTCCAGCATCTCATTGCAGATCTCCTCACGGAGGCGCATTTCTAGTTGCAGCTTCTCCTGCCGCTCTTGCACCAGCAGTTCTCGTGCAGCTCCCACTACACGCAACAGGTCCTGCATGAAGGACACGAACTCCATTGCCCACACTGCACAACAGACTTAAGACCTAGAATAAACTACACGGTCCCATATCTGTAGGTTAAAGATTTAGGTGTGATCTAGGTTTAAGATTCTCTTTAGTCACTTGGAAAGAGAAGTTGCAAAATTTACTCTTAATTCCTCTCCTGTGAGATGGCTTAAACAGCAGTGAGCTCCATATGGAGCTATCTCCAGAGCAGCTTTCCCTACAGCATGGCCCAGGGATGCAGCAGCATTTACTACCTTGACGCACTAGAACTCAAGTCACTGTAGGTTTAAGATTTCCATCTTGATCTTTCAGCTATTCCAGATGCCTAGTTTTAAGTATCTAGGAAGTTACATTCTTTTTCCTGAGATTAGCTATCTGTTTTGCATGTTTTCTGATCTCTAGATTTCCTTTGCAGACTAGGGATTATAGGTCTGCATCCGAGCTCTTACTGTCCCTATTCCACAGATGACAAAATGTTTCCAAATTAAGCATGTGCTTCAGATCCAGACCAACTGGAACATTTTCCTCATGGATTCCAGATTTCCTCAGTCCCATATCCTTCTGAAGTTCTCTGTCACCTCTTGGTATAGTGCTGAGCTCCAGCCCCACCTCCCAGGCCAAAGCTAACAGTCCTGTTCTTCCCCTTCTATCCATAAAACCGAATCACAACCCACCTCTTTCTCATACATGGAGACATCTGCTTCATCCTCACTGTTGTCTTCTGATTCCACTTCTTCCTTTGCCTCTGTCTCCAGACCCTGGCTAGTTCGCCTGTTGTGCTCTTTGATGATTGATTGTATGGATGGAAGCTTTGTGGGAGGTGCCTGAACAAGCTGAAGGGGAAAGGGCCATCATTACTAGTCAACCTGGAAGTTGAGTAGGCTTTAAACATGCCACTTCTCTACAACCTGTCAACCCTTCCAGTTTAGCAGAATCTAGAAATACTGTAAAGGTAATAATCCACTGGAAAAACATAGGGAAGACTTGCAAGCATTCCTTTTAATGGAAAGGGGCCCATTCCCACAGAAGCAGGATGTATCCTGACCATGCCATGATCCGTGTGCTACTTACCTGGCTGGCAATGGCTGAGAACTTGGCTACATATAGAGTTTCATCATATGTAGATGCACACTGATTGATGTTGACAATCATGCAAGAGCGCCCGCGCCCAGTGAAGAAACCCTGGAACACGCGGGTTAGCTTGCTGTCCCGGAAGGGAACCACAGTCTGCTTCAGCCTATGGAGAGAGACAAGACTGAGCCCAGGGAAAAGCAAAACAGCCTTTCCACACCCTCCCCCTCTGGAGTTCTGGATGCACACCTGGACTGCTGGTTCTGGCGGAGGGCAGCAATGCAGCGACCCAGTGTGTGGAGGGAAGTGTTGATGTTGTTTGCTTCTTTCATTCGGTCTCCACTTTTCTGGTCTTTGCAGCGCTCCGACCCCGCCAGGTCACACAGGGATAACCTGAAGAAAACACAGGCCATATTCACATGACCTACTAGGTTTGTCCTGTTCTGACCAGATTTACAGTTCAGATACCCTGTGATCACCTGCCCTTCTCACTTTCCCAGTTTCACCATAAGGGCACAGAAAGCTCTTCTAGGGTATATGGGCTGTTGCTGGGCAGAAAGGCCTACCCGCAGTGTAGGGGTTACACAAGGTAGTACCAACAGGAGCTTTGTGGTGTTCAAAGATCCTTTGCCAGTTCTCAGGACAGCCTGAGACAACCTAGGAAGGACTGAGTCAACCTGTTTGCAGATAACTATATCCCAGGAACAGGCATCAGCAGCACTTAAATCAGCCCTGCTGCAAGGGCAAGGTTACTGACATTTACCTTCATTCAGAAAGCCTGAGAACTACCTCAAGGTATACTTTGCAGTACTCCTCACAAACTCCTTAGTCAGTTCCAAGACATAAGAGTGGGAACATTTACTCTTTTGAAGTACTTTCAACATAACCTTCCTCAAGGTACTTCCGATACCCCAAATCCACAATAAAAGAGGCAGAAAAGTTGAATCCACAGAGAATACCCCCAAATCCTAGAAAGCATCAAACTTACTCGCTGATTTTTGGAACAATTTCACTGCCACCTCTGTGCAAGTGCAGAATCCGAATGGAGAATACACTGTGACTGTAAAGAAACATGCAGATATTTTAAGAAGGAAATGCAACCTTTAAAAGCCCCTCAGGATTGTATTTTTGCCTAAACAACTCCCCTTCGCCTTCAGACCTGCGACTGGAGTTCTGGTTCATGTGGGTGCTAGCAAAGCTCTGATTTTTCCGACCCAGTTTCAGGAGCTTCCAGGCCTCATCAGCATCCCGGACATTGATCCAGTTCAGATCTGGAAAAGCAAGCACGCATGGGCAAGGCAGTTATGAGACTGGTAGAAAACTTACTTATCTCAGCCCTGACTTCACCATTGTATTTCCTTGATATTAACAAACTTAACATTCCCATAATCCAGACAGAGACCTCTGAGGGGCCATAGAGGACATCATGCTTCCCAATGCATCACTGCTAAACCACCCATCTAGTCCTCAAGTCTCCCTAGCAGGCCACTAAAAATATACCTTTCACATAGGGGTTGCCAGTCTGGTCTTCACAGAGCCGCAGTGTCTGCCTCTTGCGGTTCTGGCCAGGTACAGCTGGTTCTAACAAGTCATAGATTAACTCATTGTAAATCTCAAAGAAGGAGACCCAGATGGAGAACTGCATATCTCCTGTGTTGGTGAGTGAAATGCGATCCAAGTCAGCCCAGCGAGGGCCCAGTTCTGGGGGGAAAAAAAAAAAGAAAAAAAATCATGCCTGCAACTTTTCACAGATCCAACCTGAATGGTTTTGCTATAGAGTGAGGTATCTTACCTCAGCAGGAACATTACCCCAGACTCCAAGTATCTTGTATACCTCATCCCATTTGGACCTACTCTAATGCCTGTCCCCAGTGAGACAACATAGTTTCCTTCCACAGGATCCTCCTTTCTCTGTGAGAACTTTCTGCATACTTGATCTTGACTCCAGGAGTGTAGGATATTTCAAACATGAACCCTTCCCTGTGTAAGTTTTAGCCCTTGTTCCCTCAATTACTCAATGCTTCTAGATACCTAATCAGCCAGTAGTTCCTAGGTTCGAAAGTCTGGACACAATGTTCAGTGCAGCATGTCAGTTTAGCACCCTGCTTTCCAGCTCTCCCCATTACATGGCATTCAGCTGCTCAATAACCACATCCCTTGAATGAAGTAAGCAGGTGTCAATTAACTTTCATTTCATAAGGCTTGGTTATTATGCAGTGGTGAATTCTTCATATATTGGCAAGACATACATACAGAGTTCTTCAGCCCTGACATTCTTATCTGTCAAAGGGAAAATCTGTGAGACTACAACACCTTGTCTCCCTTACCCACAACACAGCATCCAGATAGCCATCCCCCTTTCTTCCCCCACCTTCCAACAACAAGAAGCTGTTAGCATACCACATGCTTCCAGACATACCTTCTGTCTGGCTGACGTCTGAATGGTTGGTGAGTTGGCTAGATGAAGAGAGGCCAGCAATTCCACTGTCAAAACTGCCACTGGTGGTGGCCTGGAGCTGAGATTCAGCACTGTGACTCCTTTTCAGTGGCGTTAACAGCTCCCCCTGGAAGGAAACAAAGAACAAGAGCATGTATGTAGTATGACACCATCCTTACCCTGTTATTAAATCTCCAAGAAGCTGCATGCTTACCTCCCACAGACCCCCCTGCAGCATGGTCTGCTTCTTGGCCTCTTCCTGTCGCACCTGCCTGCTGTCCAGCCAGACCACCTCATTGGAGAGGGAAGGCTTCAGATCCATGGCTTGGTACAGCCGGTCCCCCACACTGTTGAAGATGACTGCTAAGGAGCGAGGCAGAATCCCCCCATCTTTGTTGCTGCCTGAAGCAAGGACAACCAACAAGCTGAGGATTCACATGTAGAAGCAGACAACTCCCTCAAGCTACTAACACCTAGTGCTTTCCTTACCCTGAATAGTGTGAGTCTTCCCTGAATTGGTGATGCCATAGGTGTAAACCAGCCAGTTCTGCCCATTCAGTACATCCTTTACCACCTGCTTCATTGTCTCATCAAAGAACAATTTCTGCCCCACATCTGGTCCAAAGATCTGCAAACAAGACACATGAAAAATAGCCTCATGTAAATCTTTCCTGTCTTCTGACTGCTGACAGTTGTTCAAATGATAGTACATAGTCGTTTGTTCCCTTCACTAGCCTCACATCATGAGCAACAGACCCACCAGTAATTCCAGTCCAAGTCACCTGCAAAACCAAGCTGTTTGCTTGCTTAATCTGGTTGTATCTGGCATCACTACAGCCTCTAGTATGTTTAGAGCCTCATGAGCAAAATTATTTGGCATTTTCTACCAAAAAAGTTGTCAGGATCAGCTTAAAGAGAGAAAAAAATAAGGAAACAGGAACAGAAACAAACTTAAGTAGAAAGGACTGTACAAGTACACAGTTCATACAGTGCATTGGAATCAGTGTGTGTTCATAAACCAGCTTTTCAAGCTCTAAGGCTAGTTTAAGATCCAAAAACTTTCAGATGGATTGTTTGTCCCAGTTACCTACCTGGGTGAAAGAGAATCTGTGTGCTGCTTGTCCCACTCCACGTTCTGTGCTCCGCATGGTAAAGGAGTCCTTAGGGGCTTTTAGGAGAAGGGTCTCCGAATTCTCAATGCAGACACAGCCCTAAAGAACACATAAATCCCCATCATCACGATGGTTTAGACGAGGCCATAGCATAGACAACAGAAGCTGATAGCATCTCCCAGCATGCACACAGCTCAGACTGCGTCATTCAGTGTCTCACCTGGTCTTCCCCTTTTTCCACTTCTGTAGATTTCAGAGGTCGAACTCTCAGATAGACCTTTAATTTTCCATTATTATCTTCAGCTACAGCCTGCAGAAATCAGCACAGGTTAAACATGGTAGCCAGAGGCAGTGCACAACCATCCATCAGAACAGAAGCCACAGCATGGCGCACACACGGCTGCCCTAACTAGTGCTCAGTAACTAACAGACACTTCTTTGGTCCCAAAATCTCCAGCAATGCCAGAAGCTTTCTTAGGCATTTGCAGGGACACCAGCATTTCTTTTGCTTATCTAATGAATCAGATCAACAACCTGAAGACCTGACACCAAAACCAGCTCCCAGACCAAATACCACACAAAAAGGCATTGTGTTAAGAGGCATTTACTGACTATGCCCTTAACAGTACCCTCCCTGTCCACAACAGGAACTGCTTCCCCGCAATGCAACATTTTGTTCTACTCTCTTCTGAACAATCTGTTGGCCATGCATCACACCACCTTTGTGCAGACATGGCAGCCACAGGTCAAAACACCACCCCATTTGTGACAGAAGAGCTCCCACCTCACCTGCTGGCAGCCCTCCAGATCTGGAGAGATGGCAGAGAACTCTGACAGCAGGTCCTTGCGCACATCAGCCCCAAACCCTGTTGCTGTGGATTCAAGAACAGGGGAGGCTGCAGCATCATCATCAGAGAACAGCCCTGGGGAGGCAAGTGCTTGTGCCATGGCGTCTCACAGCTCCTGGAGAAAATGGGGGAAGAGTGAGGATAGGGTGATGTTACTGCAGTCTTCCAGGAGTCCAAGCTTTGCTTCCCCACGTGTACACCCCACCACATACAGTCTGCCCACAACTACCATATCCTTCTATTCCCCACGAACAACCAACTGCCACACAGAACCCTCCCTCCACGCACACCCACATGACACACAGGATGATGCCGCTGCAAACGCACACGCACCCTCCACCTCTCCCCCCCCAACCGCGCAGGACCCCAGACAGACCACCCACACCCACGGACCGCCACGCTGGGCCCCTCCGCACACACAAGAGACACCCACATCCACTACAGAGACCCAGCAGACATAACACACACACAAACCACCCGCAGAGCTCTACACTGCCCTCCCCAACACCGCCACCCCACCCCCCAGAGACCAGCACGCGGGGCCTGCCCGCACAGGTACAGACGGCCACACGGGGACTCTCCGCACGCACACGAAACCGCCACCGCCGCCCCCCCGCGCCACCGTTGGCC